CTAAAAATTTAATCTAGTTTTTATTAAATATTGATATGTGACATTTAGCATCACATGGTTTCGTCTAACAACTATAATCTTAATACGTAGTAACGACGTAGTAATTGCATAATTACTATTAAGTTTATCTCTAACTACATAGTTGCTATGCACATTATAGAAGGCGACAATTAAGAAACACCTATTTTTTGTATTATTAATCCCATCACCAGTCGTGAGGATATTTTTTTTTGTATTTATATAAAAATAGTCAAGATTTGACACGTCCATTGATTAATATAGTTGCTATTTCAAAATTTTGAATACTTATCGTGTGCCTTGGGCATGGACAAATTCAAACAATAGTAATTTGGGATTTTGCCAACATGCATACGTGTTCCCCTTCCTCATACACAACAGTCATGGCCAACCGTTTTACCTACAGTCATGTTCTTTTATACAACATATGTGTCTAATGATGTAGCACAATGTGGGATAGGAGAAGCAGGATGTCATGTGAGCAGAGCAGACCTTTTCGAGTATCGTACTTTGGACCTTTTTTTTTGTGCATGGTGGGGATTAGAGTGTCCAGAATTCTGCGGTGCATAATTCTGCTCGCTCTGAAAATATATTTTTTGTATTGTATTTGGTTTTAAAAAAATTTAAAGTCATATTTATCTTACGGAGACAATACAAAAAAATATTTTAGAGTGAGTAGAATTTTGCACCACAGAATTATGAACACTCTAGTGGGGATAGCTGGAAAATTCAAAGAACAAAGAAATCCATGCAGATTATCAGGTTTACTCAAATACCATTTCGTCATGAACAAGTCCAGTGACCTGCTGTCACATGGAGGGTCCAGTGACTTGTAATGATTTTATCTATGATCGACTCTATATATACAATTCTAACAATTAGCTTTACTTACTTTAAATTTAGATAAATTGTATTATTCTTATTAATTCGAGGTATTCGTTATACAATTTCAAGAAATATTCAATTTATTAATGCAAATAAATCAAGAGACAAAAATTTGAAATCTTTTCAAATTTAACACTTTTTGCATTAGAAAAGAATTTTTTAAAAAAATGTATACTAAATAAATACTACTTGTAATTGAAATTTTAATCAATATAGCAATAGACAAATTATTTATTTTTTTATTCATTTTATCATAAATACTATACTGTAGTCAGTGGAAATTCTAATTTTAAATAATCTTTTTTATATAGGCGTAATATATATTCATGCATATATTTCATATAATTTTTGATTTTTAGCAAATTGCAACTACAATTGTAAAATAGCACAAAAATTGAATAGTGTTAATTAATAAAAAATTAATGAAGTAATAAATCTTGATTCAACTATAAAAGAACAAAAATAGGTCAGAAAAAAAACAAAACCATATCGAAATATGGAACATCTATGCGAAGATATGTTTTTTGCAGCATTGAAGGATTATTAGTGTGAAAAGTACGAAGCTTCTTTTGGAAAATTTGAAAAGGCTGCATATAAATATAAAGCAAATTCAAAATATGAATATTATGCAAAATATTATTTGGCATTACATTATAAACTCGGGAAACCTATTAAAAATGATAAAAAAGCTTATGAACTCTTTAATGAAGTTACACATGCACAAAGTGATTCAAAATATAAAGATTATGCAAAATATCATTTAGCACTACATTATAAAGACATTAAAAATTATAAGAATCCTATGATCTCTTTAATCAAGTTGCAAAAAGTAATTCAAGGTATAATGATGATGCAAAATATATGTTGGCAAAATGCTATGAATCTGGTCAAGGTGTTGGAAAAGACTGCAAAAGGGCTTTTGACATCTACTTAGATCTTTTAGGAGGCAAGTCACATTATGAAAATAGTGATAAAAAATACTATAATAAGGAACAAGAAGATGATGTTAAATTTAAGTTGGCAAATTGCTATAGCAATGGTCAAGGTGTTGCTAAAGATGATAATAAAGCCTATCAACTCTAATTAGATCTCTCAAAAAGTAAAAAGTATCAAATTAATGCTTTTAAATGGCTTGCAGATTACAATGAAATCAATGATAACGAAAGTCTCATAAATAATATAACTGATAATTTATTGAAAGACAATGATATTTAGCTAGTTATTAATATTGTTAATTATATACTGTATTTCTTATTTCAGCAGTGCCAAAATACGTACGTGACATTATTAATAGGTTAATAAAGTTTGCTTTTAATCGTTGAAAATTAATTATTGGCAATAAGAATGTGTCTTTAGTGCTCATATAATATTTCTCTGTTAATAAATAATCAAGTAGAGTTTTATAACACTTTTAAAAAACATATGATTGGTGTTGGTCAAAATCTCTGATCCAGAAATCGGGACATCTAATTGAAATAGCACCACCCCTGCACGTTATACATTCACATCATTTATTAAAGATTTAATAACGGTATCTCCTTTTAAAATAATTCATCAGATAAAGCTGTTTAAAATTGACATTTCCAATTTTCATGATGAACCAAGGGTCTTCAACCATCACGGTGAATAATGGTCATAATATTGGTTTTATACATACAGTAGAAAAATATTAGGTATAGTACTAATGAAGACATTAATTGAAACAGTATAAGAGCGTTATTTAAATGCTTAGAATATTTTTTTTTAAAAAAAACTTAATTCACAACTATAAATAACATTAAATTAAACAAATAATCGGCATTATGTTAATACTTATTATATTTAGAACAGTAAGCGTAAATTCGCATTTTAAGCTTAAGGGATCATCTATCTAAAGAAACAATACGCAATTAAATTGAATTGATAATTCATTTCATGTTGCTTAAATTTTGTTTATTAGTATGGTATTTGTTATGTTTTCAAAACTATTGTATTATATATTTACCCCCAAAAAATTTTATTCACGTAATATGACACGATATTCTTACGGATTAGGTTTAAATATATATATACATAAAATGCCTATATATTTAATTACGATAGAATTTCTTTCAAATAATACTGAGCAAATAATTAAAAACGTTTTGTATTCTAACTTTTATTAGACTTTATACTAGCTAAAAATTATATATATTTCCTTGTATATTTTAGATTTACAAATTTAAAGATTATTAGTTTTGATCTTGACATATTCTATTAACATTTATTACGAAAAGTATTTTAATCAGACGATGTCTCAATCGTTTCAACATTTTCATGAGGATATAGGTGATGTTATTAAACAGCGCCGAAATCGCGAGCGAATACAACGTGCAATATTTAAGGATTTTTTAGAAAAACTCAATCAGTATATAAGATGAATAAAGTTGAAATATTAAGAGAAGGTAAACATTCTTATTTTTATGATTTATCAACTTAGTTATGATTTGCTAATTTACTATTTTCAGCTTGTAAAAAAAATTGAATCATTAACAAATGAAAACAAGCAACTAGAAAATAAAGTTGTATATTTAAACGAAATATGTCAATTTCAAACAAGTGAAATCAATTGTTTATTGAACGAAAATAACTTATTAAAAAATCAGAACCAGTATGAGATTAGTCATATTCAAATGATAAATAATTATTTTACTTATTCGGGTCCCAAATAAGGTTACCCTGATAAACTCATTCTTTGTTATATGTCTGCGCAGTTTTTTTCGAATTACACCTAATCTTCAAAATCTGATTGGCTGGCAAAATAGTAATAATAAATTTGATCAATCGTTAGCCTATATTCATATTTAAAAAAAAATAAGACCAATGAACTAAAAAAAATTGATTATGATTTTCTGAGTATTTTTGAATCAATTTTCAATTCTAATCCAAATCATAACCATCATTGCATGGACATTTGCAGAACCCTAACCAGAATTCAGTGGTACTCTAAAAATATTTTTTGTAGAATAACGTGACATTAATCAGTGTTGATTTTTCAAAAATTAAAATTTACTGTGCGGATGCCGCACAATTTATAGATCCTTTCTGTGCGGCAAATAAAAAGAAACACGAGAAACTATTTGCAACTATGTGCACTACTTGCAAAATGCCAATTTTTCTGTGCGGCATCTGCACATCTATTCAAAAAAAATGTGCGCAAAATTTTGTTTCTGTGTGCTGCGCACAGTCCGCACAGTGAAAAATTATCACTGACCTTAATCATCAAATACAATAAATAATTTATTTAAGAAATATTATATTCATAACACCGTGTTATTATAACACTCTATATAGTTTAAGTTTGAGTTAGATTAGGGTTAGGG